TAATAATGCAATTTTAAGAAATAAATACTAATCTGATATTCTATTAAACGGCATAATCGTATTATGTTGCAATTGTAATAGTTAAATCAATTATAGATCACTATACTATACAACAACATTTTGTAGTAGTTTATGTTGACTTACGTGGCTTTGCAGTCGAGCATACGACTGCAGAGTACATTGCTAATTCAATTCCATGGTCAATTTTATCTTATCTTAATACTATTATAAATGCGAAAGTTTTGATTTACAGATGATTGTCATTTAATCACACCAGAACCCCTTATCGGATCTTGACGAAATTTGACACAAAGAAAAATTAGAATCTGGGTTACTTCAAAGCTAAATTTCATTTCCCGGAAAGAATTAATTGACACGATCAACATTAACGCGAATTTACATCATGCCCAATTTTGGTGTAATGTGCCAATTCATCCTATTTGGTTTTACAATGTTCATTTAATTGAATGCAATAGTGACGTAAAAATAAAAAAAGAATCATCAAAATCGGTTCACCTAGTCAAAAGTTCTGAGGTAACAAACATAAAAAAAAATACAGTCAAATTGATAACCTCCTCCTTTTTTTGAAGTCGGTTAATAAAAAATATTTGCAGTTGTTGTCAAGTAAGTAATGTCGTGTATGGTAAAGTTGATGTTCTACAGTGTATCTAACAAGTCTCAATTTGGCGATTCTGGTCCTTGATATAAACTATACAATTCCCTGTCTATTTGGACATGTCGCAGTGCTAATAACAACCTTATTGAGAGAAATAGGCTACGCGTCCGGCAGCATCGAGATAAATTGTCGACACATGTGCCTAAGGACATATTGTTAGTATGACGATGGTGCTCATCTGAAAACAAACGTTTTGGTATCAAGGGGCCCTACGCGGTACATCCGCGTTATAACGAACGTGCGCCATTTAATACCGGTTCTTTTTGAAAATGAATACCATATTGGTTATTTTGTGACGTTTATTTATAACTGGAGGACAGCTTTTATAAGTACAGACTAACAATTGATACTTTTGTACAAAAGGGTTACTTTGTAAAAACTTTTGACCGAAAATATAACAAAGTTGTGTTGCAATAAATTCTATGTAAAGCGAATACGTGCAACTTAGCAAAATGACTGTAGCGTTTTAAAATCAATAAATGAACTTCCAAGAGGAGTGGTTTAAGCGGTCGCCACGCTGCTTCCTACTGAGGTTGTGTGTTCGATACCCACATGGGACGATGCTTTGTGTGGTCCACGAATTGTTGTTCTGAGTCTGGGTGTTCTTTGTGTCCGTTTCATGTATGTTTCTAAAGTCCCCCGCGACACAGGATCTTAAAAAAAAAAAGAGTGTGCGTCTCGGGACGCCCGACAGAAGTGATAACTTAAACCTAAGTTGAACTATTTAATATTGAAATTGTTTAACTTGAGAAAAGCTTAGGTTATTGCTTAAATTTTATGTAAAGTGTCTGTCCGAAATACGGCTAACGCTGTGGGTTAGAGTGAGAGAGGAGGAACCTGCCTACCGCTGCCGTATGCGTGAGAGATAAGGAAGCCAGACAGACTTTCGCCGTAACGCGTTACGTAACTAAGCGGTTTACCCTCCCATAAGAAGTTGTCACTTCAAAAACTAATCTTAAAAAGAAGAAACTGACAGAATGATTCATTAACTGATCGATTAACGCACAGCTGAAACCGCTGGGTCTAGACCCTACGTAGAACGTTTGTTTTCATGCTTATAGCAGCATAAAAACAAACGTTCTTTAGGCGACGTAGGTGTGCAATAAGATTTTTTTATAAATTCCACTCCTAAGGGTGCAAAATGGGGGTTGGAAATTTATATGAAACTGCCTTATTTTTAGTAGTAGCGTTTTCAAACTCAGTAAATACTCTCCTTTAAAAGGGAATTTAAAACGTTGTTACAATTTTTTTTAAACTACCCATAAAAAGGGGTGCAAGTTTGTATGGTACATCTTATATATTAAATACTTATGTCACAATGTTAGTTACCATACTCGTCCGAAACGGCTGAACCGATTTTCATGAAATTTTGTGTGCATGTCGGGTAGGTCTGAGAATCGGCCAACATCTATTTTTCATACCCCTAAATGACAAGGGTGACCCACAACAATTTTTTTTTTTTTTCAATATTTCCTAAAAATAATGTATATGGCAAAACAACGTTTGCGGGGTCAGCTAGTATACCTATAATCTTTATTCATTGTATTCCTCTACGATGTCTGATGTTGATCACCACGCAGACAAATTTAGAAAAGATAGTAAGTAAATAGCGACTTTACCACTAAGCCATAAAGTCAAAATTAGTTAAAAGCGATTAACGGCACGTGGAGTGTATTATTCGCTACAAGTATAGTCCAATGCTATCCATGGAAATATTTATTTTAAAACAACAGTATTATTTACGACTGGGAAATGCTTCTGTAAATGTAAAATAAATACTTTTCTTGCATTTTCACTATGTTCATACTCATTAACTCGTCACTCAACTTCATAATTACTCTAGGAACTAAATAATATCTGCAAAAGACCTTATAAATTTTGGTGGCACCATCAAGCGGCCGTCCTGCCTGATGGTTTACAGTTTTTAAGACCTAATCCCGCTATTGCCTAACGGGCGATGCCAATTTCATTTTTTTACAAATAGGAAAATAACGCTCCTTGTAAGCTAGCAATTACAAAACTTACTTTTTATAGATTAAAATCGTAAGCCTGACTACGATATACTTACTCTATGGTTACGGTCTGTTTAAAATCCAACTTCGTATTTTTTTAATTCTTTAATGAAAAATGTACTGACGAAGTTAAAAGAATTAAAAAAATGCTATCATCCATATTTATCTTATCTATTTAATCAGTCTAAGACTAGTTTATGATCGATTAACAACATACAATTCTGATTTAGCTGGATAAGTTCCGTTCATTTGATGAGAACGGCGGGAACATTGCTTATTAGCGAACGTTACAACAAAAAATAAAAAAGTTACAAGTCAATCAAATGTTGTCTGTGGTGTGACATCATGGCGGCGCGCCACTTGCCTTATACGGGCATACGGTTGATAGATGAACCGTCGCTGCCTTTGGACCCTCATGTCTGCATTTTTAACGAATAAATAACATTTTTAAATCAAAATATAACTTTAAAATTTACGCTCGTACAAGTTTTTGTTGAATTATGTTTTGCGGTGTCATTATAATTGACATATTCTCTATGGGCGTATATATCTATACGTGCAATACAAGTATGTATTGCGCGTATAGATTTATTTCCTCCATGGTATATTAAACTTAAAATAAGTCCATTTGTACTCAATGCAAGGATGAATTGAATTGGAAAATTCCAAGTTATGTCTTTTAGCTTATCTTTATTTTACAGTTGAAGTATTTCTCTGATGAGGGTTGCCGCTTTAAAATGCAAGTAGGATATTATGATGGCCATAAAGAATAACGAGATTTTTTTCTTTATTGTAATGATGACAACATTGTATCATTAAGGGCCATAGAATCTTAGAAGCCATTCATACTATACGTTTGTCGAAACGGAGATACTGTAGAATATCGCTTAAAGAATTTCATCTTGTTATTGTTCTGTAAATGTGCACTACTTCATAGAAATTTAGATTTTTACCAAACGTGTTATGGATATCATTATAATCTATTTAGACTAAGTGGGCAAAAGCAGTTGGTATTTTAGGTGATGGATTATTTCAATACGGCGAGTTTTCAATCAATTATAAAAAGTTAAATAAATTGAAGTCACACCACCGCTAATGCATCCGCATTTGGTGCATCTAAGGACAATTGTGTTCAAAGCGTGACAATCACACCACCGCTAATGCATCCGCATTTTGTGCATCTAAGGGCATTTTTGTGTTTAGTCTGTGCACTAAATAGATGCACTAAATGTGTGTGTGCGCTAAACAAATCTATTGCAAATTGCTACAGTTTGGTAGCAGTTGGTGCCAATTCTTGAGTGCCGACTTTTTTGATTTGTATTCTATGGCATACATATATCTCTATGGAATCAAGCGGTGGATTAAGTTTTGGGGTATACGATATCCTTTTTACCAAATCGTAGCAATTTGCGATGGGTTTGTTTCTTATTGTTAAATTATATTGTTTAACATTCTTCATGAAATTAAGCATTAGATCGGGAACAGCTGAATTCGTTACATTTTTGTAATTTCTATTTGTTTTGTTTTCTAACTTGAACCAGACATTACAAGTAAATAAGATGTTAATAGTTAGTCATAATACATTGTGTTATAGAAACTTCTACAAAATGTACCATTTTCAGGTTCCATAATTATTAGCCTTTGTACTTGACAATATAACACCGTACTTATTATTTTATTGACTATTGATAGTATTGGTATCGGCAGTCTTAATTTGTCGTTTGTCAGTCTATTTTCCCCCTCCAAAGTTCTGTCCGATCACTGCCTCGGTGTGCAATATCGATCTACAAAAAGTTTTTGATCAGTAGCCACATTTAGTCAAGAAGATCTTGATTGTAAAAATGTAAAAAGAAAAGAAGACATTGTCGTTGTTTTACGTCTTTTAAATTGCCTTAGAATTCAGCATTAGAGAAAATAGGGGACAAATTCAAACACTTCTCAGGAAATAAAATAAAAAAATAAAGTCGTGACTACGTTGGAGTAATTTGGTTCGCCTGCGGCGTGTCCCATAGGCGACAGGTGAATACGGCGCTAGTGTCTACCGGCCCTCACCTACAATTAGTATCCGATACCAATTAAACCTCTAACGCGACAAATCCTGCACTCTGGTGTCGTAGCATTGCAAAAAAAAGTGATGCCTTTGAATTTTTATTTATTTTCTTTATGGTCGCATTTAAACCAATGGCAAATGGTTATACAACTGTTATATTCGTATGGGCTATAACAGTTTTACATGCGATATTAGGGGGTTTTGTAGTTTGAATGTGTAATATTTCACAGATGGATATTAAGTGAAGTTATTTTTGTTTCAGGAACGCAACTGATACAAAACCACGTCCAGGTTTGTAACCTTATAACCATTTACTTACTATAGTACATTTATTGGAAACTGGATGATAAACCATAGATCATGGTGCTAATTCTGTTGTTCGGAAACTCTCTAAACTAAACTAAAAATCACTAAAAATTAGGTTGGTCCTGTTAAACAACGTTTTGCATTCTGAAAACGTAGTACTTGACAGGACTAAACTAATTTTTAGTGATTTTTTAGTTTAGTTTTCCCTTTGAATTTGTGTACCTATTTCTACCCTGTCTATCATTAGTCTATTTAATTTGTCACGTATTTTGTTTTCAACAACTCTTGTTAGTCTATTCATGTCGTGTAGCATGGCAACACAAAGCTTACAAGCTTTGTGCTGCCGTGTTGCCATGTTGCCATACAACCGGCTCCCTATTTTTTGTTTTTTTTTTCTGGGTGGAACTCGCTTCGGATCCCACCCACCAGTGGTTTGGTTATATTGGAATCGAACCGACCATCAACTGTACGCCGTCTCCTGGTACCGGTAGCCGGGGAACCAGGTATCATCCTAGCAAGGAAAGCCCTAGTACTCTAACGTACCTCGGGCCATCTACAGCTTATAGATGACCCCCTCCTGTGTGGGAACCTCGATGTTCCCTTTCTGTCCCCGAAGGGCGTGTGCTCTCCGTAACATGTCGGCCACCCACCCTGGCCTGCTTCTGGTGATGGATGGTCTCACCTGTTACCCCCCTGTAACCGGCTCTATGACTTATATTTATGCGATAAAATCCTGTTAAACTTTGTGCCATAGGTCACTATAACAAGTAATTAAGCTGGATGATGTATGTAGACGATCATGTGTTTAAATAAAAGTACGTGTTACCACCATCAGGGTTTCACATCATATTTTAACTCTGGCAGTGTCAAGTAACGTGTCCTCGCCTCGCTCTGCGCAGCAGTTGCCAGTGAAAGTAAGCCGACCACGCTCAAACAGCACGTCGATGGCGGCGCCAACGCTGTCCTCGCCGCCTGCTAGGAAGAGAACTTCCTCTGGAGTATTTGAGGTAACACATTGTTTCGAACATTACGAGACTATTTCAGCTAAATTTTCTCTTTACGCTGACTTGCAAATAGCCAATTAAAAAAAAAATCAATTATGGATATAACTACAGTAATAAAAAAGTGTATGGAAAGACTAGTGTTTCAGAGTTCTGTTTCGTTCCCTTTCATTGAATTTTTTAACTTAAATTGCCATATCTTTTTTTTAATTTTTCTTCCATAATCTTTTTATAAATCCATAAAACAGAATTGAATATTATTCTGAGTCAAAAAGAAACCATTTTTTTAAGTTAATTATGTACTTATTGTGTATCTATGTTTACCAACTAATGAAACAATATATGTGCTCATACAAAAACTGAATTTAAGATTTAGTAAAAAAAATAACACTCAGTCATATTTGTGTACTAACAACAGTCTTAGTCACTGACATAAAAATTCTCTACATAGTAGCAGATAGCTCCATGTATCGAGAATCTAAAGACATGCTAAGATACACAAGAGATACTTATTCTCAGCGTCAACGTAAACTATTTTATACAGGTCGACGAAACAGAACCCGTGCCAAAGAAGACCGAGCTAACCCGATCTCTATCTGACAGCCCAAGAAAGAAGTCCGAAGCTGTCGCGAATGGCTGCCAGAAAACCACCGATAGGGAAAAAAGCGAGAAGAAAGAACAAGTCATGGAAAAGAAAGATCAGGTCATGGTAAAGAAAGAACAGGTCATGGAAAAGAAAGAACAGGTCATGGAAAAGAAAGAGAGCAACAAAGAGAAGAAGAAATCAAAAGTAGCGGACAAGTTTGATAGTGAAGCCAAATCGAACTGCGTGACAGCTTTTAAAGAAAGCGAAAGTTGGGATTAAGTAATTACTAATTATAGACTACAGTAAGATTAATATTGATAACAGTTGTTTTATTTTCTTGAGACTTAGAAGACTCTCCACAACAAGCGGTCCTGTGCTGTCCCGAATCCAACGGCTTCACCAGTTGGTCGGACCACCTTGTTACTTGCTTACCCACGGTTGTTGAGTCCTATGTCTTTTGGTTAAAATGATGATGATGGTCAGAAGACTGGGCATGCAGCAGAGGACGCCTCGCATCGCAACGCTGTTTAGTAAAGTCAATGGGGTTAGATGTGATGGGGCTTTAGTTTCCACGCGGTTTGTTTTTGTCAATGTGATTTTTGATTATCAATACAGGATTCAGTCGCGAACAATAGTAGAAAATAAGTAGTTTTTTCTGAATGATGATGTAGACGAGCAGACGGGTCAGGTGACTTTCCATCAGGTGATGGAAAGTGACCATCGCCGCCCATAAACGTCTGCAACTCAGGAGTCACAAACGCGTTGCCGGCTTTTTAGGAAGGAGTACGCTCTTTTCTTAAAAGTTTGAAGGTCGTATCGGTCCGGAAATACCGCAGACGATAACCCGTTCCACAGATTAGCTATGCGGGGCAAAAAGTGTCTCGAAAAGCGCACAGTAGTGGAGCGCCAACTATCCAGGTGATGAGTATGAAAATTTTGCCGTGTGAAACGATGGAATTCCGTCAGAAAACACAAATCAAGCTCTAATTATAATCTAGTAATGCCAGAATCAAGTTAATATTTAATAAAATCTACAATTAGACAATAGAGCAGTGTATTTGTAACGTCTTAACTAAACGATGATAATATTAGAGATTGTTTAGTGAGATCTACAATGGAATCGGTACTTATTGGACGGTGTTGAGCAGATATGGTGAATTCCACCACACACTGGCTAAAACGTAAGTGTTAGTAATGTTCTATATTTATAATCTTTCTAAAAATCCTTCCTTTTTTCGGAATGTAAGTATGTAGGTAAAGGTAATTTTAGATAGTTGGCGTTGACTTGAATGGATTCTGGTAAACGCATAGAGCTATAAGCATAGCGTGAACAAGATCCCGAATCTTGCAATATTGGCAACGAGAGAGATGGATAATAGATAGTTCCCTCTATCTGTTTCTAGTCGAGCTTTGTGGTTGGCTGGGTAAATTTCTAATCTCACGCCTGTTCTACGACGAAAACTATGCCCACTTCACGATAGCCAATCGCCTTAACTAAACAGATACAAAGGCAAGGAAATTATCAGGCATCCTTCTTTCTCGTTGCATGTATTGCTTCCACTTACAGGCAGCTGTACCCCTTGTTCTCTCTATGCTTATATCTCTATAGGTAAACGATTCAATTCAAATAATCGTTATCCTTGTGACAGTTCCTGCAAACTAAAAAGGTTTGAAATTTTTTTTTGAATATGCATCGCTATTAAATATAAAATAAATATTCATTAAACATCACATATAAGTTTTAAAAATAAGTGCTGAATATCTTCTGAGGTGAGGTCTTCTTACTTCTTATTCTCTTGCGGTATTGTTGGTGCCGTCGCCTGCACGTTTGGGATTTCCAAGGGCATTGCTTAACAGGTGGCACATGCCGCTTTGAAACCCCAGCTATACGGCGACGATTTTACACATTCAACGTTTACCTGTCTTACATACTTATAAATAAATACAAATTGATTTAATTTCATATCTCAGGTCTCATACTGGCAGAACAGGTCAAGACAATAAAAAAAAAATAAGTTTATGTTCCCTATAAGAAAACATCTGCATCTTTAAGAACTCTGAGAGGAATTTAACCTTCCTTTTCTTCAGGGACTAAACACTGACTATCCTGACGATCTCTTTATTTTAGGTAAATAAGGATGGACTGTTATGAAGATATCTCAAAAATGTCATACTCAAATATTGGACAGTTCCTGTGACGGGATAGTCTGGAACGTTATTATGGTAGGTAATAAAAGAAAACTAGCACACGATTGATCTGACCATAACAGATTAATATATCCTGATCACCTATAGCTTTAAGTGACCGTTTTAACATAATTTTGAACTTTAATACTACAAATTGCTTAAAAATTCAGTTTTCTCCATTTCTACATTTGAACGAAAAATTGTTCTAAATATAAAACTTTTCTGTGCGCCATATTTGTTTAAAATGAGAACATGATGATAATAATTCCCTACATCTAAACAACAACCTTCCGAGACTTTTGTTATGGTAAAGATGTATAAGGTTTTCAGGTGACACGACCACATGAACTTGTGAGCTACAACACAATACTCGGGGACATGAAAGCACTCCACTGACCGCTCTTAATTAACCACTGAGCTACTGAGAGCTTGACATTCTATGGAACAATTAGTGCTGAACTGCAGTTTTGGTACTAGAGAAGACATCTGTGGGTATTCAACCAATTAAATTGTTTGTTCGTGAACAAACAATTTCGTTCGTGAACAATCCTACCGTATTGAAATCTAACTGCAAAGTGGTAAAGGCTTGCTTTACATGAACAATGCAACTGGCGTGTGTGTTAAATACCTCATGAAAATAAGGCAGATTTTTGGCCTTTTTTCATGATTCATCTTCAGATTACACACAGACAATACACTCGATTTTAAAGTAATTTTATGAAAAAGCTGCTGGACACAATGTAAATTGTCAAGAATATAGGTCTGCAGGAGGAGCGGAGTAGGGACGATATGTGGCGACTTACACATACGGCGAAACGAAGAAACATACTACAGCGCCATCTAACGAAGAGACACCGAACTACAGAGTAAATGTTAATCCTGTATCGCTACATTAACTATTCTCTCGCCGATTAGCATACATAAAGAAATGCCCAACAATAACCGTTGGGCCACGGCCCGCCAGGCATGATCACCTCGCCTGGTAGAAGGGTCTTCCCTTTGTGTTGGAGGAACACGACACCCGTTCCTCCACAAATATACGCTGTTGAAACTGTGAAGAACTGCTAGAATCAGTATATGGACCCAGGTTTTAAACTATCAAAAGCAAATAAGTCCTAAATTACATATTGCTCATGCTCGGTCAAAAAAGTTCAGTCTTACTTATGACTTAGGTATATTGACTTTGTAATTATACAATATTTAACATAAAAATCATACAATGAATACATTTAATTGCACATTATTTACATCTAGTAGAATCCGCCCAGCCAGAAGTGAGTCGCTGATCTTCGCATGTTGGTGATGTCCACCTCGGCTTGGGACTTAGCAGGCCAGTAAGATCTACACACTGACCAGACCGCCAAGACCCTCGCCGAAGTTGGACTTGATGTATCTATCTAAAGTTTCTTCACATACCTTACCTATTAAAAAAAAAGTGTTAAAATAATATTATTTTATTAAGACAACATTCATTACACCAAAACTGTTACTATCGCTAAATATTTGGTATCACACTTAAAAAATAATAAATGTTTTTAGAATAAACAATAACGTATACAGTCTTCTCAGTCTTATATTATACTTAATTTAATACTGTCTAACAATAAATTTTAACAATACTGTACTTTTCTCTTTCATTTTTTGTTCAATTTCAAATCTCAAACTTAAATCAGACACTTGTTTTGGCAGTCCAAAAACTAGAAGTCCAAAAACTCCAAAAAGTTGTGAAATTACTAATATTTTTTTTAATATATCAACATTAACAACAATATCTTTGCAAACCATCATATACTCGTATATATCAAAATATACACAACAAAATGTCTGCAACAGTGGAACCTCTTCAAAAATCTTTATAAGACAAAACATTTGACGTTAATGACAACGGATGTCATATTATAGTGACGTACTGCCGTTTTTGCTACACACAGAGTTGACATCTGTCAGAAATGTCAAACAACGCATGATCTTGTCAAACTGATAGTGATACTGATTGCAATGTATATATTGAGTAGGTATAAATAAAACATACCTATTATCTTTTTATACTGAACTCAATGAGATGATGGCTTGGTTAATATAATTACATCAAGGCGACCGATATAACCTCCAAACCTTCAAGAAAAGTACTCCTTCCTCAAAGGCCGGCGACGCGCGTGTGACTCCTGAGCTGCAGGCGTTCATAGGCATCGGTAGTTACTTTCCATCAGGTGACCCATCTGCATCGTTACGTGTAGAGCAAAGCAGCAATAGTTTAATTAAGATTCAAAATCACTACAGCTATGGTACATTAAATTAGTATACGAAATTGTGATACGTAATAATCACCGTCTTGATGTTTGGATTACCAGCGGCATTTGAGGCCATTTTCGTTATAAATGTTCAAGGACTACTTTGATACATCGTCTTTCAAGCCATTTAGTTCTTCAAGGTTCAATGTATCAATTCAACGTTTTATACGACTTTATAAATGGCTTAAATTGCTTTTCCTGGTTTGATCTTCCAAAATAGCAGTGTCTCTCACTAGTCACTGATCAAAAATAATAGTCATACTTACATATTATAATACTTCTACATATTATCTCTGTTTGTGAGGAATAAAGCACCCGGCTGACTTTTTAAGAAAGAAAGAAAAAAAATTTGTAAGAAAAGGCATAGGTAAGAAAAATTGTTATTCTATTAATAGTTTTCATACACTCCTTGTGACATTCAAACTTGTTCGAAACTGGGGGTGACATAATTTGTCTTATGACGTGGTGTGATGTGGCAACGGAACATGTTTAATAAAATATTATGTATTTTTTTTGTTTAACATACACATAATTAGGGGCATATGATAATAATATATTGACAAGGGTTGTACGTCCTGCCCTACAAAAAGCTGAACTCTCAGTATTTACTGTAGTGGACGTGGCCCACCCCAGTTCTGATTTTGAGTGCCCGTCATACTTATGGATCCTGGATTCCTATTCACCATTTTCGGTTTATTTCTTGAACCCATTCATTCATCAACCCATCTTCAAATGTGACGTTTAGTTTTAGCAAAAAGGTTTATAAACAGAATTTAACTGAATGCTTTTTTATTTTGTGAC